CCACACCACACCACACCACACCACTACCTAGTTCCTATATGAAGTGACATCAAGGCCAAACTCAAGTGGGTTGTTGGCGCTTCTTGTAATACAAGCTTATTCGCTTTAAACCTAAATAAACCCTGATATCGAAGATTCTTTTAAAGAAAAGAAATGTATAAATTGTCTTGTCTTCTATTGTCGTTCTATTGTTTCTAGGACATGAACTTAGTACCTTTATTTGGTTGTCAAAGCGAGGCGAGGTCCTCGTAGCTGTTACCGTACATCTGTAGGTTGTGTTATTTATTGTTCTGATTTCAAATATTAATCTTGGGACCGTAGAAATTTGAAACGATAACGACTAGATATTAAACAAAAACTTGAAGAAGTTTAGTAAATATTGGAGGAGGAGAAGAGGCTTTTGACGAAAGCTCTTATTTAAACCAGTTGGCGATTTAAGTCCCGGAGTTTCCAGCCTTGCAATTTTTACTACGGGGGAGAAACATTTTTCGAAATAAAGCGAAATTACGGCATAAACAGCTTTGATATCAACTCCCAGTGGATACATAAAGGTTTGTAAACATTTGTCAAGCTTTTAGAGCTATAGGGAACGTGCTTTTTCCAAAAGTACTTACAGTGCAGGTACCCAAACCATAAACACTTCTAGGTTTTTAAATATGTTTTGAGTCATCCAATCAGAAGCCAGATCCATAAGGCTTCAACATTTTCCCACGCGATTCCAGAGTCCCTTGTATTATTATTGTCGTAAAAGTTTACTTTAAATATTTTAATTTTTTATTATTATCGAAATGTGACGACCAATTTGAATAACTATTTTTAGTCTTTTCACTGACTAGCAACTGAATAGCCTCGTGTTCACGTAGAAAAACAAAAGCGTTTTCACATGTATGAGGGGCTTGTCAGTCGCTGGTCAGTGCAGAACAAAATAGCTATTGAAATTGGTCGGAATATTTCAATTCGGTGTATTATTAAGTGTATCAATTATTGTGAATAACAGCTACTTCGTCAATGAACTATATGTTTTATTTGTACATGTTTTATTTGTGTAAATTATTGAAAGTTTGCACTTACAGTTTTGCATACTACAACGTTTTGATATTTATCAGTTCATTAGTTCACATGAAGTGAGCTTAAATTAAAACATCTAAAGACTTGCCGCCGTTTGTCGTGATTGGATGGCGCATAAAAAAATGCTTGATTCCTTTGTTTCATTGAAGAGCATTGATTGGATAGTCATGGGAAAAATGTATTTTGAAAAAATAACAAAACATTGATATGTTCATAGTTAGAGTGTAAAAGCCCCTCGTGTTTTGGGCTGGCGTCAAAATTGTCGAGGTCGCGTAATGATGAAAGGCGCTGTAACAGTTTCTTGTGGACTTTCTTCATAATAAAAAATAAATAAATTCTACTACTATTATTCGAGCATTATTTTGCGATGATACGCATGACAAATTGCAAATCACATGCTGTGAAAGCCTCAATATATCTAGCAGTTTAACGACCGTTAATCAAAGATAATAACATGATCTTTTTTCAGTTCAGTCTAAAATGTTCCCCAATATCCGTCAAGCTTCGCGGGTCGAACTTCAACGATGATGGTGTGATATTGAATCATTGTTACCTTGTCAAGCGCGAGTTATGGGAAAACGTTAACTTGTTAAAGTAATTCTGTTTTGATTTTGTTGAGTTTATAGTTTCGTTTAAAACTGGCAAAGGATTGTTTGAAATAATCATTAAACAAAAGCGTAGGCGATTCCACAAAACCAGGTTTTTTTTTTGACAAGAATTATACAATTTAAAATTTCATTGTTAGAATAATGTCTTTCTATTTCTCCGCATTGTTTTAAGAGACAAGGAGAGCACACTGGAAAAAAGCAAATACAGGAAAACATGGGGAAACTATGAGAAATGTAGATTATAGCGCCAAAAAAACCTCATCAAAAAGAGAATAAATGAAAGAAAGAATCCAGTACAGTCAGTCACGTGCAACTACTTACTAATGGTGATCACGTGCAAACGTCAGCATTTCGTGACTGACGAGTCTTTTACTGGTATCGAAGCTTTGCTATCTTCGCCTAAGAAGTCTTGTCTTTGTTTTTCTTCTACTAATATTTCGTTTTTCGGTATTTTCTTTGAAGCAGTTATAGTGGTTTTCTCTTCTCCATAAAAGTCTTGTATTGCGGTGTATATTATTTGTATCCTGTGCGTAAGGCTTCCTTATTGCCAAATAAATTTCATATAGTAGAGTCACATAAACCAGCAAAACCAGAAACCCACATTTAAGATTGCTGACGGACTCCTTGATCGTGAATTCCTTTGTATTTTCTGAGTATTGCGTGTTTTTCAATGTCCCCATCCTAAGGTATATACTTTCACTAATTCCACTAAAGATTCTTCATCAGTTCAGTTAAATTAGTTGGTAAAGGTTCACTCGCTCATACATCAGTCAGTAGCTTGAACAAATTCTCGCCTTCTTGGCCAAAACAGCGCAAAACGGCTCGTTTACACTCAAAGCAATCGAGGACAATGGAGATACGAGTGCGTTTTCCGTTTTGTAAGAGCTTTTCCTTATCACCATAGAGAACTCAATGAACAACTGACACGTTTTACTGTGGTTTAAAATGTCGATTATTATTGTCGCGGAAAAGTACGGTAGAAGCTATACACCTTTTTGAAATACATGTGTTTGGTCTGCTAAGGTTGCAATTAAAACTATAAAGTAATAGATGGTACTCAGCATTTTGAAAAAAACCCATTACAGTATGATATTAGGTGTTGACGTTGCCCTAAGCAATGTTTAAAGAGAAGAGTATTTGTACATATACATTGTACGGCATCGTATCAGGCATTGTATGTACACGTATTTATACATGACTTGACATGTTATTCAATTCCAGGAGAACTGATATCACGCCTTTTAAGAGATTTTCGATCTCAAGATACTTGAACAGATCCATTAGCAATGCGTTAGGTGAAATAATGACTTAATAGTCGGGCTAAATGCTCATCTAAATCATCTTCGGGAAAAACTATCGAAATAACATATGTTTTGGGCCGCTATCTCATCTAAACCAACACTGAATGGTTGACTTATATATTGCTTCGGACTGATACTTGACGTGGCAGTCGATAAGATTTTCTCAGCGCGCTACCTTTCAGATTCAGAAATGTCATTACAAAAGAAATCGTTCCCAGGTTCTAAAAAAAGTGAGTGAAATTTTCAAATGAGCAAATTTTATATATATATATATATTCAATATAAAGCTGTTAGGTGTTAATTGGCTTGCTTTAATGCCCATTTTCTCCACTTTTTCCCCCAGTCTAAGTCAACTGTTTTAATCGCATTACACGATCTTGTAGAAATGTTTTAAAGAAACTTTAAACCATGGTTCATGAACTTGTTTACTGCAGAAGAAAAACAAGCAAGAAGAAAGTACAAAGTAACAAGCGAACTAAATCCGAGATATGACGAAAGGCAAAACAAACAAACAAACGACTTATCAATTCTTCAGTATGTATCTTAAACATGTCCGCTCACAGGTAGCCCAAGCTTGGTTTCTGTGGTGTCCTGTTATAAGGAAATGTATGGGGATTCAACAAAAATTTCAATAAAATCATCAAAACGTGAAATAAAGGCTCGAAATTTTACCCTATCATTGAGAAATAGCACTTCTTTCGCTCTGCGTGGTTATTTTTTGAATTTAGCCCGTTTTAAGGATTTTTTCTCCCACCAGTAAGAAATAAGAGAAGGTTGGAAACTTACTGGTGGGAGAAAAAATCCTTAAAACGGGCTAAATTCAAAAAATAACCACGCAGAGCGAAAGAAGTGCTATTTCTCAATGATAGGGTAAAATTTCGAGGCTTTATTTCACGTTTTGATGATTTTATTGAAATTTTTGTTGAATCCCATACGTTTCCTTATAACAGGACACCACAGAAACCAAGCTTGGGCTACCTGTGGTCCACTATACACTGTTTTTATTCAGAGTTTAACATTTCTCTCAAGTCTTTTCTCCCAAGTCTGTTTTGCTCTAGCCTCCTTTGCAGCCGTTCTTAGGGTCGTCATGCAACGTTTCCCTACAGGCTCCCTAGCCCTGTGACTGACAATTRGGGACTGTGCAATAATTACCAGGAGGGGAGGGGGGGGGGGCTGAAAAACCAGAGGGGGGGCATCACATAAAATTGATGCTAATTTAGGGGGGGTCTCAAAGTACAATCACTCATTTGACGGAGTGGGGCCTAAAGTTTTATTCGAAATGTATATAAAACCACACGGATACACTTTATCTAATGTGACCAGTCTGAGTGACGAAGTCGAAATGTGAATGAAATGCAGGAGGTGTGCCAGAAATTGATGGTTGATGAAACCACTCTCAAATGGTTTGTGCAACATCTTGAGTTTCTTGAAATGAAAGCTCAAAAAAGGAAAGCTGAACGAAACACCCTTCCAAACATGAACTGGAAAGATGAACACCAAGTCCAAGTTCTGACAGCAAAACAACTAAAGATCTACCTCAAGCAGAACAATGTAAACGTATTAACAGGAAATAAAGCTGCGCTGGTAGCAGGTGTCCTTAATTTTGCTCGTGCTGAAACACCTAGGGATGAAATAATTAATTATACAGCTTCTCATTAATCCCATATAGGTAACTGTCCAATTATTTTCTTAATTGGACAGRTGTTGTTGATATGGGGTTAATTAGGCAGCTATATAATTAATAGGTAATGGGATTTCATGCTCCCCAATCAAGAAATAATTAGACTCAAAAAATTCCTCTGACTGCCAAATTGGACTCGGCCTACGGCCTCATCCAATTTTATCAGTCCTCGGAATTTTCCTCGTCCAATTATTTCTTAATTGGACAGCATGGAGTCCTATTACATACACTTATTTCAATAAAGTTAGTCACCTGAAAAGCTACAAAGCTGAGACCGACAAGCATTATGGGTAGATACATTTTACATGTTTCAACCGCTTGATAACAGTTCTTGAACTTGGGATCTTTTACCAGTTACAAGTTAACCTCCTCTGAGCATCCTCAACTGCTGCAGTTTTTGTAAAAAGCTTCACTTGTTGGATATAAAACATTTCCTCATGATTCTTAGCGATCACAGCTTTCTAGGTTGTTGGTGACTATAACTTTATTGAAATAATACCATGATCACCTCGGGATCCATTGTTTTTGGAGGGACGTTTAATCACTAACATCCCTCCCGGCTCTAAAATGACCCGGTTCGAAATCTGATGCAATTTTAATGAGGATGTATACCTCCCTGCCACAGGCTTTATTCAATGTGGGATAGAGAAATTGGTCTTAGAGTCGGATTCTACACGCTAGGACAAACTTTGCGCATGCGTTATAATGGACTAAAATTACTAACTTGTTACAATCTAATGTTTTATAACACAAATGTTAATTTTCTCGGTGCAAGGGCAGCCTTCACGCATGCGCAAAGCCATTTTGAAACAAAAAGCAAGAAGTTAACGTTTATTCAACCACTTTATTGATTTTTTACACGTCTTATKTAGAACTGATTGTAATAATAAATGTTTAATTTTTCCAATTGAACGTTACTTGTTAATATTAATGTTTATGCTAAAATTGGCTAAATTCGCTCCTTGTATTAATGCCACCCAAATTAATTGCTGTCGCTCCGATTTCTTCCACCTCTTTACAAGCTTCCACGAGCAAAAATTTATTCCTTAATTTATATGTTTTCTGAGTTGACAAAAAGACATTCCAATGAAAGTTCTTTTAAAAAAATTATTATGTCATTGGAGTAGTTTTAAGAAAACATTTTAAGTTTTAATTAGCATTTTGCTAACCAAACACTCTCTTACTTGTGCTTCCAAGAGTAATCATTCAGTCAAAGTTCTTTAAACAATGAATTTTGATTTAGTAGGCTAGAATTAATTAGGCCTTAGTATGCTACCAATTTGCCAAATATTTTGCCAATGTTTACACGGATAAAACAAAAACATGAGATACAAAGTTTTATATCTCCCTTGAGACGATAAATCAGATAGATGGATTAGACAGTTTGACAGCAACTTATTAGTATTCAAGTTCACTATCTATAAGTTTTTGACTATTTGCTTTCTTTAATTTCCTCGGAAATCATGGTATTACAAACTAATACCATGGCAATTTCGGGATATTAGTGATTAAATGTCCCCTCTGCCTCGGGAGGTTTAGTAAAAGTCCCTCGGCCTACGGCCTCGGGCCTTCCACTAAACCTCCCTCGGCTTCGGGGACATTTAATCACTAATATCCCTCATTGCCATGGTATTACTTATAATAAGTATATGCTAATTCTAGTGATAGTAGTACAGAATTCCTGTCCATTGATTCCGAGTACGACTCTGATTCTTCTGAAAACAGCTCTGATGTGGAATCAAATGACTCTGAATTGGACGGTTTTGTTGAACATTCTTCTGAAGTACTATTTGTTGCAGACAAGGACAACGAACAAGTAAGCACAGGCTTGCAATAGCATGACAACGGGAATTCACATAAAAACATTTATAATTGAAGGATGGTAATCGTTGGGTGTGGGGTTCAACGTTACTTTTAACATAACAGCCGGGGGGGGGGGGGGGGGGGGGGGGGGGGGGGGGTAAGAACTTCGCGCTTTGTCTGCACTCTCGCAGAAATCGGTTTTGCCAGCCTGTACAACTGATTAGAGAGAATTCCATTCCCGCCAAGGGCATTTGATATTTTTCTCTTATTCTCTCTATTTCATTACACACACCGAACGCATGATTTATTACTACTGTACGAAAATTACATTGTTTTTACCGTTAAATGGCTAAAAGAGGACAAACTTGAAGTTTTGAAGAAACAAACTTGCTTCTTGATGTTTGTAGTGAAACCAAAATGAAAGCAATGATAGAAGACTGCCATAAAAGAAATATGGAAGCATTTGAAAAGGACTTGAACGCGAGCGCGAAACAAACTGTGCTCGTTGACATCTATTGTCAGTATATAAAGACATAATATATGGGCATAATAGACACATGCTATGAAAGGAAACATGCTTTGGGGATTTTTAATTTTTGATTTATTAAAAAGCATTTACGGCTACGCCTGAGATTTCGTCCCCGAAACCACTATCCGAAGAACAAGGGGCCATTTTGCTGCGCATGCGCGCCATACCTAAGCTCATATGTATTGTATAGACTTTTGATCTCGTGGCGATACTCTGCATTAAAGCACCAAATTTGGCACATGTTCGTGAGCCAAGATATACGAGCTTAGGGGGGGTTCAGCATGCTACCAGATGGGGGAGGGGGAGGGATTAAATCATCCCTGAAATAGGTATTTCAGTGGTTATGAATCCAAAAAGCACCAAATTTTGTACAAATGCTCGTTTTCAGCATGTTGCAAGGAATTTCAGAAGGGCGGCTAAGAGATATGTGGTATATAAACGACTAAAAACGATGAATGTTTACAACGGTTTAATCACACAACATACTCTTACGACTACTCAACGTCTCACACACCTGTTGCAATGTCCCATCGTCCTTAGCGGCGATTACACGCATATATTAACATACTTTATGCTACAGATACCAGTTTGTATGTATGTATGTGTGTGTGTGTGTGTGTGTGTGTGTGTGTGTATGTGTGTGTGTGTGTATGTGTAAGTATGTCGGTCTGTCTGTCTGTCTGTCTGTATGTATGTAACTATGCAAAATATGGGGGAAATGACATTTCTCCTTTTATTTCAAGGGAATCACGTGTATGGTCCTTCAATACACAACACAGCAAGCTATATCATCACATTCATTTATTTGTACTTTACAAACGTTGATAGTACAACAGTACTTTCCGCACGACTAAAAGGCTCGAACCAGCCACCCAACCCGTTGGACTCACAGTTTTATTAAGAAGACACCCTGTGGGTGCAGTCTGGTTAATAAACGGACAAATGACGGTTCCGCCTAGGAAAAGCGATTTCCTTGTCAGTCTTCAGCTTTTCTGGTGCTTCTTACACGCTTTCGTACATCCCTGGCGATTTGTTTGGTTAACTTGAAGTCCATTCCCGCTTCTGATCAAAGGAAAAAACAAACAAACAAAACAATAAATGAAGAGATCATTACGAGTACCCGGTAAAAGAGAAATTTACCACGAATAAATATCTTTTGTGATATCTAAATATCTTTTGTGATTTAAACCCCATAAAGATGATAACAATAGTTTGCCAGTTCTCTGTGTTGTGTTCATTGGCATCTAGAATATATTATGTAATTTCAGAAGTATTACGAAGTTGAAAAATTCTAGCAAAAACGTGTTGATGTTCTCTAATGGCTTGCAGCTGACCCCTTGCCGATGATTTGATTGTCATCATTAGTTCGTCCTCTGGGATGCTGCTAACTTCTGCAACTCTTGCCAAAAACACCTCTTCCTCTTTCTGAAAATAAAGGGAACGAATTCAGTTTGGCCTTCTAAGGCACACTCAGTATGAATAATAAAAACTATTACTGTTTCGAAAAAGGTTGGTGAAGGCTTTGTTGCATGTTGCATACCAAGCTAAAATATATTGTGGGTCAAAACATCAATAACAGCACATAATAAAATACTGCCGCACGAGAAACGTGCATTAAAAGTTTGAAAAACTTGTGTACTTTGTATTTAGGGCTTGATATGCGACATGCAACAAAACCTTCAACCTTTTTACAGCTTTTTATTTTCAATTTTACAACAAGTACTAGTCCTTCCATAAAAATGAACAGGAAGTCGATAGTGTCTTGATCTTTTCCAGTAGACGGGTGGACTAAGTATTTCAGTTAACTCTATTTGACTTTCGCTCTTTCTCGTTGAACACATCACGATAGCTAATACAGGGTTGTTCCAATGCATAGAGTATGATTGTGATCTTACACAGGGTATACGATTTTCATGATCTTGTCTAAAACAGGGGTCTGCTGACATTTTAGCGCATTTCATCATGTTTTCTCATATTACGTAACATGTTAATTTAACGCGTTAAACTCATCACTAGTAGATGAGCTTGGCGTTAGGTGCTTGTTTAGTGGGATGAGAGGAGCCTGGCACATAAACTCGCGGTAACCATGGCAACCCTGTCACAACTCACCGTGTACCTGTCACACTGACGGTCTGGTCAGTGGAATACTTACCTATATATACCTACCATGGACACGCGTGAAAAACGTCTGCGCATGCTCTGAATCCGTATGCAAATTAGTCAAAATATATGAAAATTTGACTTTCAAATATGCCTGAAAAATTGGACTTCACAAAATACCAAAACTTAGTGTCCATGCTTGAAACTTAAGTCTAATTCTTTCATATTGAGTTTGTTAATACCGTACCGTGGTCAGACAAAAGTATACTCGCGAATTTTTTTGTTGTATACTTGGAGAAAACAAACATTTCTTTTCTTGCTCAAACTCTTCAAAATTCTTAGCAATCTCGTACCCAGAGCCCTTATTTCTTACTGCGCATGCTCGACGAAATAATTGGGCTCTGGAAAACTCCAGACCGGAAGACCCAGATTCTGGGTTTCTCGCACATGCGCATTATGACAGACTAGGTAAATTCAAAATGGCGGACGATGTTCAACGAGCATGTGAATTTGCGCTTGGAAAATTAGGTTTTGAAGATGGTTTTCAGTTAAATTAACTCCGAAAATATCTATTGGATGGACATCAATACAATTTCCATTACATAAACGGCAAAACTTTGAAAAATCCGGCCCTACAGGCTTTTTTGGTGTACTTAATTCGAGACGCCATCTTGTTTATTTTCCCTAGTACTGTAATTTTTACTTCCGGTATCTTTCTTTGTTCTCGAGAACCAATCACAGCACAGGAAATATTGGAGTTTTCCAGAGCCCAATTATTTCGTCGAGTGCGCAGTAAGAAATAAGGGCTCTGGGTACGAGATTGAATTCTTAGAAAACGCGCTGAAATGCACGCATGCGCAATCGTTTTTCTCTAGTGTCCCTACCATGGGGAGGGAGGGCGGGAATAAACCAAATATAGCGTTTAGAGTGTGGTTGCCAGAAGCTAGTGATACCGAATATCGTAACGCAAACGATTGTTGGCCGAATTTAAGGTCAAGCTAGCGTTATTCCATGGATAGCGTGCGGTCGAGTGATCATGACCATTAGCAATAAATAGCGTTGATCGATATCGCGGTAATTACCGATCAAATAGCTCAGCCCTGCTGATAACCAAAGATAATGCTAGCGTTATCACCAGAATAGTGTCATAATTTACAGTGTTGTGTCTTGAGCAGGGCTTGCTTTTTCAATATTTTCTTGTCTCAAATCAGCGATATCATCGAACCACCCATAGAACCCCCAGAGCCTGTTATTTCCGTTCATTTAGAATTACTATTGAAAGTGTCCATGTGCAATTCATTTTTGATTACCTGCAAATCTTTTACAAACTGCTGCTGCAATTCTTTGTGAAGTAATTCTGTTTGTCGTCTGAGCTCAAGACGCATTTCGTTTTCCAGCTCCTTCAAGAAAACAAGCAATGTCAGTATTATCAGTATGGCGATCCATCAACCCCAATAATTAATAACTTGTGAAATAACAACAAATTTCACACATCGACAGCTGAAGTTCAGCTGAAGTTCGTATGTAGTGAATAGTTCAGCTACGCGCTTGGGCCATAAGGCAGTGGAAAAAACGCGGTCCATAACTTCGCACTCTTCCATACTCTGTTCCAGAGCAAGATCGCTGTAAACCATACTCTTTGCCGGTATTGCGAAAATAGATACCCTGTTCCAGAGAGGAAAGAGCTTGATACATATACCCTGTCCCAGAGCGAGCTCTATATTATATACCCTGTTCCAGAGTAGAATCGCGCTGATAACCATACCCTGTTTGGCGGCACGTACCCGTATAGCGAAAATAGGGGAGTACTCCCCCCCCACTAGTTTAGAACTAGTTCTACCGCTGTCTCTATTAAACAAAATGAAAATGTTCTTTTGTTGGCAATGTGGCGTGTCTCCTTCCACTTTCTTTGGTGCCATCTATTCTCCTTGCCTAATATAAATAGCTTGTTGGTAAAACTCTACCATCAAACAAATGAAGTTTGCTAGGTGACTGATTTACTGCGCGCGCTTTTTTTAAAGATCTAAACTGATGCGCACGCTCATTGTTTGTGAAAAAAGGGAAAAAAGGAAATAAGGAATAGAAAGAATAATCCTGATAGCCTGGGAGGCGTCCCTCGGATCCGCCTTTCATATGTCCTGGCGTAGCTTCACTCACATAAATGTAGTTTTTGTAAAGAAACAACTTAGGCCAAATATATGAGCGTCGAACTTCACACGAACCAAACATAATGACATTAAAGAAGACTGCCTTATTATCCATCGTTTTCGATGCGCACGGCTCATTTGAAGTTCGACGTTTCACTTGTAATAGAAGTATACAAACCTCCATATCCTTTTTGTGTTCTTGGTCTCTAAGAATTAAAGTCAGAGCACTGGAGGCCGTTCTATTGAAAAATTAAGAACAGGAGAATGTGAAAATAAGAAGAGGGTCGTTAGAAAAAATGAAAAACCCATAGAGAACTCATGTATGACGTGGCAAGAAATTCCGAATCATTATGGGAGGAGCTTAACACGTCATCAAGTTACTAATGTCAATCACTTTATTTTAATCCCTGTGATTTTTATGGCCTCAATCGCTTTGCTCGATTTGCATTTTTACAAAATGGCAAAAAGAAAAAAAAAAGAATTTGTAGTGTATTGATAGTTTTATGGTAGTTTTAGCATTTTGGAATTCATTTATGTATTTTTATTGCGCATTTTTGATTAGCAATTGATTAATTCACCTTTTCATAGCATGATGTAGGTCCATATTATGGTGTAGTTAAAAGAAAGAAAGCAGAATACAACCTCTCGGCTGGAGCCCAAGTACTCAAAACAGAGACCCAAACATTAATCATCAAATGTAATGCAGAGTCAAGACCTCAAACTTATGTGGCAGACGATTAAGCTACCGCTGCACCACCCTTGACTCCCTACTTACTTGACGCCCTTTGCTTTGATCTCTTCCATTTCTCTTGCTCTTTTGGCTTCAATTATTCTGTAAGAAGAGAGTATGTAATCATTCGGTTTTTGCTTTTAGTTTCAAGTTTCATTTTATAGCCAAAACGGCTCAAGCTTACAAGTTAATCAATAGTTTCATTATTCTATGATTCAAATGTTGAAATATAAAAATAATAACTGATTCAAAACTCGAATTCCGATTGGATGTTGGTGTTCCTTATATAGAATGATCTTATCAGAATTAGATTTTTGAATTGTTATTTTGAAACGTGAGTCTTTACGTACTCAAAAAGAAAAATAAATTTCAATATTCTAATAATAAAATCATTACTCGGGCTCCTGTAAAAAAGCCCGAGCCATAAATTGGGTTTCGTTTTTTTATTGTTTGTGATCGGTCACAAATCCTCTTCGCGACGCTAAAGCGCATGCGTGAAGTTTAAAGGCATGCTGACTGAGTCAGATGAGCACATGCAAGGGCGGATCCAGCCAAAATTTAAAGGAGGGGGGGTGGGGTTTCCGTCAACACAACGGAAAACAATATAGAAAAGCATCGTTTTTTCTGCTGAAGGGGTTGGNGGGGGGGGGGTCTGAAGCCGGATCCGCCCTTGACATGGTTATGTTAAGGCTGATTCATCAAAGGTCTAGTCTGATTGCTTAAAGAATAAAGCACGTAAACTATGATGTCTAGTACGCTAACCACGTGTTCATAAAGTTACTATAGCCGGGTTTCCTGTGATGATGAGCTGTAATTTATTGGGTTATTTATAACCTACGGCCTGCACACTGCTATAGTCTCGATACGTTGCAATACTAGTCCGCGAACGAGACATCAAACTTCGTGTGTCGCACTTAAGTGAAAATGGTAGTAAAAACTGAAGATGGAATTCTTAAAACAAATTCAGTTCATCCTAAAAATCCCCTTCAGGGTTGAAAGTTTCCCAACAACCAAAGAAAAAGTTTTTTTTTTCCCAGCGAAATCTGTACCTCTCTTTCTTGAGCTGTTTCATTTCAATTTTTTCTCTAATCTTCATCATCTGCTTCTCTTTTTCCCTGTATTTTCAAGTCAAAAAGAATAACAACTTAGTCTGCGTGCAAAAACCTAGATCTGACTGCGGTCCCTCTTTTATCATTCTGCTTTTTTGGGGGGGACGCAGTGGTTTTCGTAACTTGGGTCCAGCGTCAGAACTGCGTGCAGCCCGACTTTAACTCTAGTAAGTTGACCTGAATTGAAGTCAGACTGCAAACAGATTATTCAAATTCTGCAAGCGGGCTGTTAATATTCTACAAGCAGGTTACTTTCTTTCGTCTCGTATTTTAATGACAAAGTAGAAGTAGTTAATATATGAACATATATTGAAGAAATAATATACTTAAGGTGGCTGACTACTTTTCAACATTCGATTTGAGCCCACGATGTGCGCGTGCTTAAAAACCGCCGAGTAATCTTTACGAATTTATTGAAGAACCATACACGTTTTGAACTTTTGTTATTTTCCAGAATAACAGGTAATAACCCATTATTTTTCAAAGTTTAAGCAATTCTGTTTATCAAAACAACGTAAAACATTGTTCAGTTTGTTTTGTGCTCAATGTTTACGATAACTTGTACACCGTAGAACCTGAACAAAAAAAGTTTTTCCATTGTCTACAATAGTTTATTAAAACAACTTTTATCAGTATTCTATAAATATAGTGTAAGTTACGTGTTCGGAGAAAATCACTCATGTTTCTTAGTTTTGGTTTTTTGATTTTTTTGTACAGAGCGAGATTTTCGCTATTTTTCTTCCAAAATTGAACAAACTCACGTCATTCCGAAGTGATTTTCTCAAAAACAAGCTCGGGACACCCCAGTTTTCCTTTGCATTTTTGAAATCAGCAGTAGATTTCAGGTTAAGAAAGTTTCAATTTTCAAATTTGTGTTTATTATTTACTTTATAGTACACTCAACAAAATTACTCGACTCTGATTGGTCGAGAGGAGTACAATTATAGCGTTAATTGTACTCCGTAGGAGTACCGAATTAAGTCGCTATGGAAACACGGCCAAAACAATGTCAAAACAATTATTTTCTATCATTTTGTACTTAAAAAACATATGAATAAAATTTTAAGCCGTAAGAACTAATATTTTTTATGCATTTCAGTTGCGCGATGAGCTGAAAATCGGCCGCCAAATAGACAAAGATGAACGGCGTCGCTTCGCATTTTTTACTGAAATTTTGTTGAGTGAACTATAAACAAAAAATCGCACCCTATACAAAGTATTCAGCCACCTTAAAGAGGCACGAAAGATAACATAAAAGTACTGCAATTGATTCCATGAAATACAAGCTAAATAAAATCTAATGATTAACACAAACAAACTCAAAAAGAAAACAAAAGACACTTTACGAATATTCGGATAAAAATCCTGTGTTAAAAATCCTGATTACGATAATGAAAAAGGACTTACATTTCTATGTTTTGGTTGAGACGATCTACTTGGGTTTGGTGCTGCTTTAAGATTCGATCAGTCTGCACATCTGCCATTGTACCTTCTCTAGTTAGAGTGTCTACAATTTTTTTCTGAACGAAAACGAAAAAGTCAGTAAAGTTGTGCACGCCCGCTGCGCAACCGCAACTATAAAACTATAATATATGTTGTTACTTCTGCAAATTCATAAAACCTACTACGACRCCGCGCGCAACGAAATGTAGCCAAGAGCTGTTGTACTACTGACGAATTTGAATGCGGTCTTGATGTCTATATATATCTTTTGAAAAAAATCCCGCACACTACGGCACCGTACGAGTACAAGAGTACATAGCCCCGTCGATCCGCATATACTAAGAGTCTACCATTAATGGCAGTTACCAAGGAAATGTTTCCCTAAATGTTTCCTAAGGTGGCAAAACAGTCAGAAAACATTGGGAAACAAAGTTTCCATGCGTCTTGGAAACATGAAATGTTTCTGCCGCACAGCAAAAACATTTTTTGCGTCTTGGAAGCAAAAGTTGTTGCACGCAGCAATGTTTCGCATGTGGCTAAACAGGGAAACATCCGAGGAAACATGCGCGCGGTAAACATGTTTCCTCGTGAGAGGTCCAAACTAACCTCAAGGTTGCGTATGGCAACGTCTCTGTGTTTGATGATTTCGTCACGGCGAGCAACTTCAAGCTAGAAAAAAGTAGCCAAAATTATAGCCGGGGGATAGTCAAAATTTATCAGTTATCTTATTATTTCATTAAGTCGTGTGCTTTATAAATCTAAGGCCCCGTCCACACGTATCCGAAAAATTTTTGTATCCGTGATATTTTTTTTTTTCGGATACGGGTTGCCTCCACCCTTGTCCGGAAATTTTTGTATCCGTATCCGGAAATTTTCGAAAACGGTCTCCAGAGTGAAAATTTTCGAATACGCTCCAAATACGGTCGTATCGGCAAATTTTCGAATACGCTGACATAAACACGATTTCGCGCATGCTCAATAAGAAAAACTATCTGTCAAAGGGACTAGGCACTAGCGTGCATCAGGGCGGATCAAGAAATTTCCGGATACGTGTGGACAGTGAAAACGATTCGAAAACGATTCAAATACGCTGCGTGTGGACGCGAACACTTTCGTATCCGCAAAAAAAATTTGCGGATACAAAAAATTCCGGATACGTATGGACGGGGCCTTAGGTATAAACTGAGAAATGGTATGATGAAAATTGGCCTTTGCTTTGAATCAAGGCCGCTGAGAAGAGACCACCACCATATCCCCAATGAACTCAGACAAAGATTGGCATGGATTCTTGAAAATCCGAATGAGGCTTATCCGCTTAATTATAGAGGGGCTACTTCACTAGGTGTGAGAGATATACGCAAAACTATTTTCACTGGTCCCACTGTACTCATATATAAGATATAGGAACAGACAAGGCTTCATGCGCTGAGATGACCTAATCACAGTCCAGACAGGCACCAAACTCAAACCCAAAACTCCAAAACTCTAAATTAAAGCTTGGAGGTACCGCAAGCAGGTTGGAAGAGAAGTGATCAGATATGCTAATAGGTTTGTTATATATTTGCACCCGTGGGACCAGTGAAGATAGCACCAATGAAACAATTGAAAACATAAGAAATAGATGTGTTTAGTGCTATTTAGTTTTTGTGCTATCTAACGGATATATAGCTTGCACTCTATCCAATAATATAAAATCAAAATTCAGATTCATTGATATAGTCACCTGCAGTTTTCCCAGAATCTTTCCAAGTCGATCATCTTGGTCTTTTAAAGCTTCTTCTGTTTCAGATGCAAGCCGACGCCGTAGATCTTCGAGAGCAGCTTGGTGCTCTTCTTCCATTTTTTTCAGTTCTGCTTGATACTCTATGTTCTAAAACCAAATTGAATATACTGAGATGTAAGATCATTGTCTGGTTAAAGACATAGGTCATAGAAGCTGAGATCGAAAGGTATTCTGGGAAATGGCATAATTATCCTCTATGAATAGCGCTATATCTTCGACGAATAAATATCCAGAGTATAAGTCGATGCTCTTATCCATTAAATTTATCCACTGGATAAGCTTTATTGTTGGATAGCGCTATCCACACTTGTTAAAAGCCTCCGTGCTTTCTGTCAGTGCAAAAATTTATAAAAAAATCCACAATTCGTATAAATAGGTGATAGTACATCTAATTAATACATAAATACATACGTACATACACTTTATAGGACAAATGCAAAACTTGCACCTTGTGAAAAAAAGGGATCTGGCGTGATTCAAAAGTCACGAGTCATGCCAGATCCCTTTGTTCACAACTTAAGCCTCACATCGATGCGAGCTTTGCATTTGGTCTATTGTATCTCTCAAAACGGGCTTTCCAGTTAAAATATGCTTAATATAAATACTACATAAATACTGAATAAATATATATTAATAAATAATATTATCCTATAAATGCTAAAAATATTAATAAATATACTAAAATATTAGATGTAATCCAAAAAAACTAGAAAAAATTATAAAATATCATAATCTAATTTAAAACATAATATAATGGCTACTTTGAGCGTAACGCTCAATAATCTTCTTAGAATTCCTTGCGTTATCTGTGGTTCTTGTTTCAAGACTTAGATTGTTCTAAAGCTTGCATCCGCCATAAGCACAACATCCCTTACCTGTCGCCACACGACGTACATTGAAGAATTTGTAAAAAAAATTATTGGAAGCATTCCTAGTATATTTACTATGCACAAGAGAGCGTATTACCTTATCCTTAAGATAATCAGGTACTAGATTATTAATGCATTTGAAAACCATAACTGCGTCCTTAACGTATAAAATATCGCTTACAGACAACCAATTAAGAGACTTTAAACCTTGCGAAACATGCGGGTCATATTTTCTGAGATCTAGGACAATACGAGGGCCAAAGTTTGTATTAATTGAAGTCTTTTTCAATTGTTCTTACTGGTGTTTGACCACACAGTTGAACAGTAGAAAAGTTTACTGAAGACAAAAGAATTGATAAGTCAAAATAAGAGTTTTAGTGTCCAATAAGTGCTTTCTCCTATTAATCTGTATTAAACTATGCATGCATAGAAACAGGTTTACTTATATGTTCGTTATATGTCAATGATTGATCAATATAGACTCCAAGATCTTTTGCCACAGCAACAGGCTGGATTACTTTCCCAAGAAGTTGGGAGTTGACAAAACAGTTGAGGTACACCAACAAGCAGAACTTTGGTTTTGTCGGCATTAATAAGCAGAGAGTTTTGACAGCACAATCTGCAAATGCTTCTTAGTTCATCATTCAGATTTACGATTGCATTAACCACATCAGACGAAGGAAATGGTAAGTACAGTTTGGAGCGATCCACATAGCGGGCTGATTTTGCCGTGAGCAGGGGGAGATAACAGGTCATTCAACATAGATAGTAAACAGCAAAGGAACCAAAATGGACCCTGTGGGACCCCATATCTGAGCGCACGTAAACCAGAGACAGCATCCTGAATGCGTACACGTTGGTATCTGTAGGAGAGATAGCCGGCTTTTGAATTATTCCAGACTGTGGAGAGATACGCCGCAAGACACTGCTATTTCTCTAGGAGTATAGTATCATGGTGTATGCTGTCAAAGGCTTTGGACATGTCTAATGTACTTCCCATGTACCATTTCAGTCTCAGTTTTTATGTCCTACATTTTTGAACCCAAAAATGATTTTGCAATTGAATGTATGAACAGTTTACTGTTCTTTGCAATATATTGTACCACGAAATTCATCGAGGCCAAATAGGCAGGCCATTTGCATGAAACAATCGCGAACTTATACTTTGATAACGTTTTTTTAAACGAGTTTTTATAGAATATCCACTTGTTTCACAGTGCAAGTAAATAGTTTATGAATGCATGTGAAAAAGTCAGACATAATTCTGAAGGTCGAGATATAAGGAGTAATTAATCTAATATGCATAAGGCAACGCTCTTGTCAGCTGGAGGATCTAGAATCACGGGGAACCCAATATTTCAAGAGTGTAATTAGGATTCAGAGGAGAGTATTCACGAGTTTATAATGCGGCAGTTTTGTTTTCCACGCTTGGGACACTTGGGACGACCAAAGGAAAACATCACGGTCTTATTTCTTTATTTTTAACTCGCTCACTCACTAAGATGTTAACAGATCGATAATTAAACGTTTATCTATCGTCTTAAGTCATCTGCTTACGAACGTTACGAAATGAAAATGAAAATGATAATGATGATAATGATGAT